GCGACTCAGCCGTCGATTCGACTGAACGAAACACTTCCGTTCAGTCGAATCGACGGCTGATTCGCTAAGTCGAAATCGTTTACGGATATCGATATCCGTAAACGATTTCGCCGAGTCGACTCGTCGGCGATCGGGAACTCAACGGACCGACCCCAGGGCGATATGTTCATCGATTACATCAACCCCTCAAAACCGATATACACCCCCCTAACCGAAAGCTATATCCCCCCCCCCGCGCTCTCTCATTCTAAGACCTTCATCGTCAACTCTACCATGCTCCCAACTCTCTATCTCCCGTTATATGCACATGCTTTTCCCTCCCTCTCTGCGCCCCCCTCCCTAACTCTAGCCCTGCCGTCGCGTCTACGTATCATATCTCCTCTACTGCTCCTACGACTCATCCCTCATGTTGTCCCGCTGCGCCTGGCACCGTCCAGCGAGTGCCATCTGCCCAGACAGCCTCCACTTCGTCGTCGAGCTGTTTCTCGCCCTGCTTCATGGGCAGGCAATACTCCGGCGGCGAGCCCGAACTGGTTCTGCACGCCGCCTGGGCGGGGGCTGAGGGGGATGACGTGCAAAGATGGGGGTGCGGAGAGTTTGCGGAGACGGTGCGGTGAGTTTGCGGTGAGTTTGCGGTGAGTTTGCGGTGAGTTTGCGGTGAGTGCGCGGTGAGTTTGAGACGATTTTACAAAGGAGACCTACGGTTTGTGCGAGAACATCGCGGTGAGTTTGCGGTGAGTTTGTGATGAATTGGTGATAGCGTTGTAGTCCCGTTGGCGTCAATGTGATTTTGTTGGCGTGAATGCAAGCACATGCTTGCATCTCACACCAATAAAATCACATTGACGCCAACGGGACTACAGCGCTATTCGTTGTCATGGTTTCGTTTCGATCGGGTCGTCGTCGCCATCGTTTGTTTCCACCGCCCCCGACCACCCCCATGAGCTCGTTCCAGCTGTAGCTCCACTCCTTCTCACCAGATGCTGGCGCCTGCGGAGGGCGGCACATGTGGGTGATAAAATGCGGGGGGGGATCGCCAGGTGAGTGAGCCGGGCCCGGCCTACCAATCTAGTCACTCTATCCTGCCGCCTCGTTTGTCTACCTCTGCTCTTCCTCCTCCACCTCCTCCCCCTCGTTTTCCCACTCATATTTCTTCCATGTCTTACCCCCCCCCCCGCCTCCATCTCCGCTTCGACGTGCGCCTTCAACCAGCCAGGTGGAGACCCCCGTGATTTCACCAGCCCCTGATCCACGTGTCGGAGCATCGTACGTATTTTTTTTGATGTTTCTCGTGCCCATGATTGTTTTCTGTCGGCTAGCTTCCATGTCTCCTCACGCTGATTCGCTAGTCTCTCCAAAATGGCGGCGAACGGCTTCTGTACTATTGGACCTTGTGTTTTGACGATTCTCATGCGCAGCTCCGTCAGTAATTTCTCGTGCTTCACGAGTGCTTTTGTATTTGGCTGACTTTCCATATCCGTAGAATAGCATATGTCATCAGGCGTCAGCACGTACTTATTTAGGACGTCCACCGACTCACCTGGCTGGCCGAAGACGCGCGCCCGATCCCGTCCCATGTCCCATGTTCCATCCCTTCTGCGCCCGATCCCGTCCCATGTCCCATGCCACATCGGCAGCACCTCCTCTATAACATTCCCCCCCGTGCTCCCCGATCCCTGCTAACATGTCGTCGGCAGCACCTCCCCTATAACATTCCTCCCCCTGCTCCCCGATCCTCATGACATCGGCGGCACCTCCCTTATAACATTCCTTCCCCTGCTCCCCGATCTCGCGCATCCCACTCCGTGTATCCCATCCTTTGCACTAAACGTCTCATCCCTCGCATGCGAAGGGCGGGGTAGGAGAATAATGACTATGAGGGGCATGAGGGGAACGAGGGGAGGAGGGATATGGGGGAGCAGGGCGAGGAGGAGGAGGAGAAGGAGCAGAAGGCGAAGGAGTAGGAGGAGAAGGTGGAAGAGGAAACCGATGAGGGGGAGGACAAAAAAGGTCACCGAGCTCCTTGCCGCGGCGGCGCGGGCGCCCTGCCGCCGCCATCTGGGCAGCGGCCGCCGAGCGGGCTCGGCGCGAGAGCTCAAAATGAGCTCCGCGGCGCGCCGCGAACGAGGCGGAGGGCGACGTTGCTCTTGTTGTCTCCTCATCCTTCATACGACCATATGAAGGGCGATGAGACAACAAGAGCAACGCAAGTAAGGCTGAAATAACACTTGAAACTGTTCAAATGTTATTTCAGCTTGTAGCAGGAAAACATGGAGACAGCGCGTGCGCGCACACCTACACAACATCACGTGACTATACAACGCTACGCGCAACATCATTGATAATCAATGTGGAACCATCACACATGTACATAAATCATGCTATTATTAACTTAACATGATTTTCTAACTTAAGATGCGTTTAAATAAGAACCGATCTTAAAACAAGATCTAACAGACCTCAGGGTTCGTGAGTCGTTTTTTGACGGTCCCGGGGCCCGGCGAGGGCCCCCAGAAGTAGCAATTTACCCAAGCCGTTCGTCATGGTCATGACCCGAAGGGGGTCTGGAGTGCACGAATGGGGCGAAAGGCAGGAGCGCAGTTGTCCCCACGGAGGCCCCGCATCGGCCTGAGGCTGGCATGCCCCCTGATAATCAAAGTTGGCGGCGCGCAGGAGGGGGTACATAAGGGGGAGGGGGAGGAGGCTTCGTCGAAGGAGGCCGTTCCTTCGAAGGCGCGGGCTCACACCTACAGACAAGGCCCGCGACTTCTGAGAGGCAGGGGTGCTTCTCTCCCCCCTCCTCTCCCCCCTCCTCCCTCCCTCCTCCTCCTCTCCTCCTCCTCCTCCTCCTCCTCCTCCTCCTCCCCCCCCCTCCCCTCCTCCTCCCTCCTCCTCCTCCTCCTCCTCCCCCCTCCTCCTCCTCCTCCTCCCCCTCCTTCTCCTTCCCCCCTCCCCCCTGCTCCCCCCCTCTGCGCGCGGAGCTCGGCCCACAGTCCCCCTGCCCCCCTGGGCGGAGCTCGGCCCACACTCCCGCGGGCTCCGCCCGCCCACGGTCGGCCCTGGCGCTCCCCTGGCACAGAGGTGCGCGCCCGAAGGGCTGCTGCTCTTTCTCCGAGGAGGGGCTGGAAAGGGCTCGGCTCGCCCCCCATCCCCCCTCCTCCCCACCTCCCCCCCTCCCCCCCTCCCCCCCCTCCCCCCCCTCCTCCCCCCATGCGTTCCCCCCCCCTCCTCCCCACCCTCTCAAACGAGGCCCTCGTTCCCCTCCCTGGCTTCCCTCCCTCATCTCCCCCTCCCCTCCCCGCCTCCCTCACGGAACCAATCTTTGCGGCATGACCCTCCTCCGGGGGCGCAGAGGCGGGGCAGGGGCCAAGGTGGGGTCGGGAGGAAAGCCGCTCCAAAAGGCCCCTGGGAGACAGAAATGGGAGCGTCCAGCTGGGCTCGATCCCTCACTCCGCTTCGGGGCAGCCCCTTCTCTACGACTCCCCGATCGACCGCTGTGCGCACCAAGAGGTCGCCAGGCAAAACCGAGAACACTACGAGAGGTGGCTTGACGGCTGTCCGGTGGAAGAGGCACACCAAGCAAGAGCGCCTGGGGGGGGTGCACGCTTTGCCAGCAGCGACCTGAGTGCCACGAAAGCGGGGCAGAGGAACCCTTCTGTGCAGGAGTACCCGTCGTTCATTTCTAATCGCGCTCATTTCTAAGTGTGCTCGTTTCTAACTGTTCCTGGCCCCCCAGTGGCCAGGAAGAGGCCCAGGATAGAAGAATTAGACATGAAAGAATCTTGGCCCCTTGAGAGGCGGCAGGAATCATTGAACCATGTGCAGGCTCGAGAGGCGGAGGAACAGGGAGAGGGAGCGGGCTGCCCTGGTAAAGGGGCCTGGCTGGCAGACTTCTGCACGGTACCGCCCCCCTTCTCCCGAGGCGCCCCCGGCGGCCGGCCGGGCAGCTCTCCGCGGGGCTCTCCAGCCAATAGCCGCCCAGACGGCCCTGCAAGGCCACCAGGGCCGCCAGTGGCCCCGCATCGCCTCAGGACGCACCCTACGGAGCGCCCACGAGGTCCCTAGATGCGCCAGGCCTCCACCAATCTCCAAGACACCCCCAAGACACCCTCGAAGAAGCCCTCGAGAAGTCCAGCGCATGATTTCGCCTATACTTTGACCCAGCCCTCCTGTGCTGTTCGGCCCTCGGTTTGAGTCCGCAGCGCGGCGCCCCACCTTCCTCTTCTCCATCCCTTCATCTTCTGAAGCACTTCCTCGAGTCCGTACGCGGGAATGGACGCTTCGCTTGAGACGTGCGACTTGCTCTCCCGAAACTGAAACTGGACAGCAGCTGCACGCACGGATGCCGGCATCTTTTTGAACATGCAGCTCTGGGCCCAGCTTCGCGCACATTCATTTTAGAATCGTGCAGATCGTGCCCCGCAGGGAGCTCCACCTGGAGCCTCAGTGGGGTGGTTGCGCATGCCGCCCATGCCCCCTTCGGCACATACCCCTTCCACGGACCGTACCCTCAGAGAGAGCAACACCTAAGGCCCCAGTGGGCGTGGGCGCCAATTGCGGCAGACCTCTCGCACGCTTCGTGCCCTTATAAGGAGCTCCACCTACGGCCCATGCGGGCGCGGACGCACGCCATCCTGCAAAATTTCGACGCGCCTGTCACGCCATGAGCTCCACCTACGGCCCCGGGGGCGCGCCTGCCGCTGTGGCACACGCATACAAAGTTTCGTGCCACACAGGGCGCATGCCGCCACACCCGCCCGTTTTGACGCACCCCTCCTACGCTTCGTGCCTCAGTCGGAAGGTGCCAGAGGTACCCCTGGCCCAAGGTGCCCCAACCTTTTCGCTGAAGCTTTGAGACCCTGGGGGCCCTCTGGGCCTCGTGATGGGGTGCTCTGGAGGCCGCGGGGGCCTCCTTGGAAATCCTGGGGGCACCTTGGGCCAAGTCCAGTGGGCATGCTCGGTAACCAACCGATGTGGGCACACGCCTCTTTATAGGAACTTGCCACGTAGGGAGCTCCACCACCAGCGTCAGTGTGGGTGGTCGTCTCCCCCCCCAGACATTGTGGGGAGAGCCCCAAGCTGGTCGTCACGCAAAATGCTTCGCTGGCACCTTGGTGGATTTGCGGCAGACAGCCAGATTCTTTTCCACGCGGAGGAGCTACGTTAGTCGGAAGCGGGCTGGCGTGTAGCCTCAACTCCATTGGAAAGAACACTTGACGGCACCGGTGGAGGGACCGACCGAAAGACCGAACGACCGACCAGCGAGCGAGCCACGGCCAAAAAAGGCACTGATGGGAACAAGCGGACCAGCAAACGTGGCCACGCCTATCTCGCACCTTAGCAGTCAGTGCACATAAGCCTGCAGCTAACTACGTAGTACAATGTACAGTCCGGGCGAATCCAATTACACATCTTTCTCATCCACTCCTCTCGTGGTCCTTCAACAGCTCGACGTCCTGCGAAGGAGCGAGGGGAGGGGCAAACTGAGAGAGGCTTCGGCTCGGCCCGTGGATCCGAGCCCACGCGCAGGAGCAGACGCAGGAGGCGAGGAGGGCGGGGAGGGAACCGCCCCGCAGGCAGGCCGCGGAGGCGCACTCGTGCAGGCAGCGCTCGGCTCTGGGCCACGGCCGCAGCACTCGGCGAGCCTGCCGGGCCCGCGCGTGTCCCACCTCTCTCGACGCGCACACAGACGCAAGAGCGAGAGGGGCAGCAGACCCCCGAGGCCAGGGGCCTGCAGCAGAAGCCGCACGTGCAAGGCGAGGCGGCGGGAGGGCCGCCGGCCCGAGCCCCGAGGGCAACCACAAATTCCAGATTTCACTTCCATGTATTGAGGGTACACACATTAATTCCAGCTGCCATGGGCTTGGCTCACGCTGCCCAGTCTCAAGAAGCTGTCGGCTGCACAGCCGATCCAAGGCGTGGCATGCCGGTGCTGTCCACTCTGAAGCTGGAGAAGTGCACGAAGGAACACACTGCAGCAGCGACTGCGAGGACCGCGAAGCCAGAGCGCCCGGCCGCAACGTAGGAGAGGACCGCCGCGCTGGCCAGCACAACCAGCTCGATGCCCCAGCTGACGAAGCTGGACCTGACAGGGTACAGGCTGGTAGACTCGATGCCGATGCCGATGAACCCGAGCGAGCTGGACCCGGACAGCATGCTCAACAGAAGTAATAGCGCTAGCCCCCCGGCACTGTCACCTGTCAAGATCCCCCCTGCTGCCAGGGCAGCGCACGCCACGAGCGACGCAAGGCATGTGGCATAGCAGGTCGTCAACGCCCTGCCGAAACTCCGCTTGTCTCTGCAGAGGCGGCCGAGCACGAGTCCTGTCACGATGCCTGCCGCAACGAATCCCGTATTCACGGCCGTGGCAGCGGCTGGCGAGAAGCCGAAGTTGTCGAGGATGAAAAATATCGCCGACGGTGCAGCAAAACTGACGCCCCCGAGCAAGCCGTGGGACAATATTTGAGCGGCGAGCCGAGGGTGCTGGATCATGATCTGCACCAGCTCGATGAAGCCAGACGTCTTGCGCGATGGCATGGGCTCCTCGACCTTGGCCGATCGCTGTGCCCCCGACCTGCGGAGCCCGAACATCAGCAACGCGGCCGTACTAGCAACCAGCGTGACCCCAGCCTGCCATGCGCACACTCTTCCGAACGCAGTCGGGCCTGTCGCTAGAAGCGGCGGTATGAGGATGCCAAACAGCCATCCCATGTAGTTGGCTTGCAGCATGATGCTCGTCGCAAGCGCCTGTTGCCGCACAGGGAATAATCGATGAGAGATCTTGCTCGGAAGGGTGAATATCGTCCACGCCCCAACACCACAGAGGATCTCGGATGCGATCATTAGGTTGTAGCTTCCACGCGTGGCGCCAAACGCACGCACCACCCCCGAGCCCACGTTGAAAAGAGCACTCCAGACCAGTGAGAGTCCTTCGTATCGGTCGGTCATGAAGGTTCCAGGCGTGAGGCCGACAAACACGACGGCGAGCCAGATCGAGTAGAGGCCAGCGACCTTCAGGGTGCCGACCGAGAGAGCCTGTGCTGACAGCTGCTCTAGGACCGAAAACGTCATGCACAAGAAAGCGTTGCTGGCGGAGCAGAGGGAAACCGCGACGATCATGCAGTACCGCTCCCGCACGCTCCCGCCGCCCGTCGCCGCAGCTCGAGCCACTGGCCCACCCGCGGCGGCGGCAGCTGGCCGACTGCCTGGACCTGGCAGTCCTCGCCGGCTTCGCCCATTCTTTCGGGGGGCAAGGAAAAACATAACATTGAACTGTCGGAGGTCCGCGCGGAGGTCTTGGATCGGCGCTGGGGCCCCCTGGCGGCGCCACCAGCGCCGCCCCTGGAGCACTCCGCGCGCCAGGGAGGGAGGTCCAACCCCGATCCAACGGACCTCCGAAAGTTTATGTTATGTGCCGTGAGGGCATTGGTGAACGAACCCTTAGCTAAGGAATCTGGCAAGGATCTCACCGCCGCCCTCATCAAAGCAGGAGTCCCCCCTGGGTCCGAAGCCTCCTGGAAACGCTCCGTCACGAACGCCCTCACCGCAATTTCTCGTCCCCCCGCTTCTGAGGGGCAACGATAGGGGGGGGACTTGCATAGGGGAGGATACATCGACTTGGAATCGGCGAGACATCGCCGATAGATCGGCGATCGGCCTCCGACGAGGAATCCGAACCGTCCTGGGCAGTTTGGGACCATCGGGCCCCTATCGGCGATCCATGGGCGATTGGGGGTCGATGCATCCCACCCTATGCTTAGGTCGTGCATGTCCTCCTACAGGCGGACCCTTGACGAAAAACATAAAAAAAACAGATTCGGAAGTATTGTGACAACTGCTCGACACACCGTTCCCAGATTACGCTTTTTTGAAACTATGGTCGAAGATCCCTCGTGTAGAGGAGGGACATGCCCCACCTAACTGACTACCTACCAGACCACCCCAACCCAATCCGAAGACCCGATTTTCGGGCTGGGGGGGGGGGGTAAGGGCTCCACGCGTGTTTTGTCGAGGTTGCCCGACCACCCCCCCATCTAGACATCGAGGGTCAATCTGAACCTTCGGGTTGGGTTGGGGTGCTTTGGTGGGTGGTGAATCACCCCGTGCCTCTCCCCCCGCTGCCGTTGCCCCTGAGCTTCCCGCCGCGAAGGCAGGCCGCCGCGGCGAGGCCCGAGGCGGCGGCACCCCGGCGCGAGAGGCCGGGGGCCGCCGGCGGCGGGCGCGGCCCGCCCCGCGGGCGGCCCGGGAGGGCCGCGCGCCCCCCCGCGGCCCACGCGCGGGGCCCGCGGCGGCTGCCCGCGGAGGCAGCCGTGCGCGGGCTCAAGCATCGGTCGGAGGTCCCGCAGAGGAGGAGGCCTCCCAGATGACGGATGAGGAGGGGGAGGGGAGGGGGAGGAGGAGGAGGAGGAGAGAGGAGGTCGGAGGATGAGGGAGGAGGGATGCTAGAGGAGGAGTAGGAGGAGGAGGAGGAGGAGGAGGAGGAGGAGGAGAAGAGGGGGAGAAGGATGAGGAGGAGGAGGAGGAGGAGGAGGAGGAGGAGGATGAAGGAGGAGGAGGAGGTAGGGAGGAGGAGGCCGCCCAGGCGAGCGGGGGCCCGAGTGCAGGCAAGATCGATGGCAAGGGCTAGAAGAAGAAAGCATGCCATACACATGAACTTTTGGCGCTCCGCGCGGACTTTTTGGATCTGCGCTGGATCCCCCTCCCTGGCGCGCGGAGCGCGCCAGGGGGGCCATAATAATACACACACTCACATATATAATATAAATATATATATTATATATATATATATATATATATATAATTATAAATATACATCTAGAACCACGCGCGCGCTTCGCGCGCGCTTAGGTTCTAGCTAGGAGGCGAGCTTGAGTCAACGACAGTCGCAGGGAAGGGGGCAGGGGGAAGAAGGCCAGAGAGCGCTGAAGGGTACAAATACTGGAACCCTCTTGTGATTATGTGGGGGGCCTCGTCCGGCCGCTCGCTGGGAGTTTGACGTAGCTTCTCGGGAGCCTCTGAACCTGTCGGGGGCCTCCTGGAAGCAGGTTCGAAGCATTTTTGGGGCCGATTTGGGGCTTCTCGGGGCCTCCTTTGGGCCTCTTGGGGGTCTCCTGGAGCCTCTTGAGGGGCCTCCTTGGGGCCTCCTGGCGGCCTCTTGGGGCGGAAGGCTCGAGCTTGCGCTTCGTGGTCCCCCTCTGGGCCCCCTCTTGGGCCCGTTTCGGGGCCCTCTTGGGCCATCTTGGGCACCTCTTGGGCCGCTTTGGGGCCCTCTTGGGCTGTCCTGGTGCCCTCTTGGAAGCTTCTTGGGCCGTCTTGGGGCGGTCTTGGGCGCCTCTTGGGCCGTCCTGTAACGTCGGAAAACCCAAAAGACAACTTTGTTGAAAATGTACGTTTTACGAAGGGAATGGGCCAATTCTTGCGTCTAGGGCCCTCTTGGGACGCATGTTGGAGGCTTCTTGGAGCCTCTTGGGGGCGTCCTTGGACGTCTGGGGTCTCCTGGGGCCTCTTGAGGGGCCTCCTGGGGGCCTCCTGGCGGCCTCTTGGGGCGGAAGGCTCGAGCTTGCGGTTCGTGGTCCCCCTCTGGGCCCCCTCTTGGGCCCGTCTTGGGGCCCTCTTGGGCCATCTTGGACGCCTCTTGGGCCGTCTTGGGGCCCTCTTGGGCTGTCCTGGGGCCCTCTTGGAAGCTTCTTGGGCCGTCTTGGGGCGGTCTTGGGCGCCTCTTGGGCCGTCCTGTAACGTCGGAAAGCCCAAAAGGCGACTTTGTGAAAAATTGTTGTCGCTTCGCGAATCCCCACCAGCCCATCCAGAAACGATGCCCAGAGGAATTGCCTCGATCAGAGAAGTGGGCAGCACACAGAGGAAGCCATTATGAGACATCTTGGGATATCTTGAGCCATCTTGGAGGTCATTTTGGGCTCTCCCAGACGCTCTTGGAGTCATCTTAATCCGTGCCCCCCCCCAAGAGGCCTCCATGTGGCTAAAACCTGTGTAGAATCAATGATTAGGCATTCTCGCCGAGGCCTCTTGGAGCATCTTGGGTGCATCTGGGGGGGCTCTTGGGGCCTCTTGGGGGTCTCTTGGGGGCCTCCGGGGGGCCTCTTGGGGGCCTCTTGGGGCCATCTTGGGGCCATCTTGGGACCTCTTGGGGCTTCCTGGGCGCTTCTTGGGGCCATCTTGGAGGGAGATCGATCAAACAAGAGGGGGGGTTTAATTAGCGCCCCCCCTCGGAAGCCCCTAAAATCGCCTCTTGGACCCCTCTTGGAACGCTCTTGGAGTGCTCTTGGGCGCTCTTGGGGCCGTCTTGGGGCTCTTTTGGGGCTCTCTTGGGGCCCTCTTGGGCCATCTTGGAGCCATCTCCAGGCCTCGGATGGCCATCGGAAGCGAAAAGGCGAGAAAGCAAAAATCATTGATTTTCCTTAGGTTTTGGGACGATTTTGGCCTCTTCGGGGCCTCCTTGGGGAGCTGTTTGGCCACTTGGAGTTATCTTGGGGCCGTCTTTGGGCTTCTTGGAACCATCTTAGGAGCCATCTCGAGCGATCTTGCGCTATCTTGAGCCATCTTGGAGCTCATCTTGGGTTCTCTGAGGCGCTCTTGGAGCCGTCTTGGGCCATCTGGGACGCTCTAACTACCCGCGGCCCCCCCCGTCCAGGTCCAGGGGAGGGGGTAGGGGGAGGGGTAAACCCCTCCCCAAGGGGGAAGAGGGAGGGGTGGAAGAGGATCTGTTCTAGACCACCTACGCCCAGAGGGCTGGTGGGATTTACGTTTTACGAAGGGAATGGGTCAATGTTTGCGTCTAGGGGCCCTCTTGGGACGCATGTTGGAGGCTTCTTGGGGCGTCTTGGGGGCGTCCTTGGACGTCTGGGGTCTCCTGGGGCCTCTTGAGGGGCCTCCTGGGGGCCTCCTGGCGGCCTCTTGGGGCGGAAGGCTCGAGCTTGCGGTTCGTGGTCCCCCTCTGGGCCCCCTCTTGGGCCCGTCTTGGGGCCCTCTTGGGCCATCTTGGGCGCCTCTTGGGCCGTCTTGGGGCCCTCTTGGGCTGTCCTGGGGCCCTCTTGGAAGCTTCTTGGGCCGTCTTGGGGCGGTCTTGGGCGCCTCTTGGGCCGTCCTGTAACGTCGGAAAGCCCAAAAGACAACTTTGTTGAAAATGTACGTTTTACGAAGGGAATGGGCCAATTTTTGCGTCTAGGGGCCCTCTTGGGACGCATGTTGGAGGCTTCTTGGGGCCTCTTGGGGGCGTCCTTGGACGTCTGGAGGCCATCTTCAGCATCTCGGAGCCCTCTTGGAGGCCTCTTGGAAGTCCCACCAGCCCTCTGGGCGTAGGTGGTCTAGAGCAGATCCTCTTCCACCCCTCCCTCTTCCCCCTTGGGGAGGGGTTTACCCCTCCCCCTACCCCCTCCCTGGACCTGGACGGGGGGGGCCGCGGGTAGTTAGAGCGTCCCAATGGCCCAAGACGGCTCCAAGAGCGCCTCAGAGAACCCAAGATGAGCTCCAAGATGGCTCAAGATAGCGCAAGATCGCTCACGATGGCTCCTAAGATGGTTCCAAGAAGCCCAAAGACGGCCCCAAGATAACTCCAAGTGGCCAAACAGCTCCCCAAGGAGGCCCCGAAGAGGCCAAAATCGTCCCAAAACCTAAGGAAAATCAATGATTTTTGCTTTCTCGCCTTTTCGCTTCCGATGGCCATCCGAGGCCTGGAGATGGCTCCAAGATGGCCCAAGAGGGCCCCAAGAGAGCCCCAAAAGAGCCCCAAGACGGCCCCAAGAGCGCCCAAGAGCACTCCAAGAGCGTTCCAAGAGGGGTCCAAGAGGCGATTTTAGGGGCTTCCGAGGGGGGACGCTAATTAAACCCCCCCTCTTGTTTGATCGATCTCCTCCAAGATGGCCCCAAGAAGCGCCCAGGAAGCCCCAAGAGGTCCCAAGATGGCCCCAAAATGGCCCCAAGAGGCCCCCAAGAGGCCCCCCGGAGGCCCCCAAGAGACCCCCAAGAGGCCCCAAGAGCCCCCCAGATGCACCCAAGATGCTCCAAGAGGCCTCGGCGAGAATGCCTAATCATTGATTCTACACAGGTTTTAGCCACATGGAGGCCTCTTGGGGGGGGGCACGGATTAAGATGACTCCAAGAGCGTCTGGGAGAGCCCAAAATGACCTCCAAGATGGCTCAAGATATCCCAAGATGTCTCATAATGGCTTCCTCTGTGTGCTGCCCACTTCTCTGATCGAGGCAATTCCTCTGGGCATCGTTTCTGGATGGGCTGGTGGGGATTCGCGAAGCGACAACAATTTCTTGGGCCGTCTTGGGCGTTCCTGGGGCCATCTTGTCTGACCGGGGAGGCCTCCGGCAAGCCCCGACGAGCCTCCAGAGCCCCCGGTCCCCACATTTGCGGTCGTGGTCCCGGCCCCGGGCCCCCAGACCAGGTGCGCCGTTATATGTATATGCGTATGACGTGCTTTGTGATTCTTCTTTTAAGGGCGCGAGGTAGGGATGCAGGCCCCTTGGACCTTCCGAGTTGAGAAGAGGTCGAGGAGGCAAGGATGCAAGGGTGCCCTTGCGGAAGCACCGCCTCCTTACCAATGGTTTTGGCTGTAGATGGGGTCGGGGGATCGCGCCGCATCGCCGACATGTCGCGGATGCAT